AGATCAAAATGTCGCCCAATCTCATGGCCGGCATCATACGCTTATGATGGAACCTCCTCTTCACCTCGGACCCTCAGAATGCTCAATGTTCCTCTCCCCGGTACATGAATCACCGCATACATGTGGAAGAAAAAGAAACAACTCCAATGGTATAGTACAAGGGCCTCCAAACTGTGGCCCGAGGGCCTGATGTGGCCCTTTGCAAGCCTTTGTCCGGCCCATGGGGCACTGTTTCTCTCAATGACATGAGGTACTATATCTTCCACTGATGCCAACAATGGGGCGATATTTCTTACACTGATACCAAAGATGGGGCACTATTCCTTCCACTGATGCCAACAATGGGGCACTATTCCTTCCACTGATGCCAACAATGGGGCACTATTCCTTCCACTGATGCCAACAATGGGGCACTATTCCTTCCACTGATGCCAACAATGGGATACTGTTCCTTCCACTGATGCCAACAATGGGATACTGTTCCTTCCACTGATGCCAACAATGGGATACTGTTCCTTCCACTGATGCCAACAATGGGATACTGTTCCTTCCACTGATGCCAACAATGGGATACTGTTCCTTCCACTGATGCCAACAATGGGATACTGTTCCTTCCACTGATGCCAACAATGGGGCGATATTTCTTCCACTAACACCAATGATGGGGCACTATTCCTTCTACTGATGCCAACAATGGGACACTGTTCCTTCCACTGATGCCAACAATGGGGCGATATTTCTTCCACTGATGCCAACAATGGGACACTGTTCCTTCCACTGATGCCAACAATGGGGCGATATTTCTTCCACTGATGCCAACAATGGGGCGATATTTCTTCCACTGATGCCAACAATGGGGCACTATTCCTTCCACTGATGCCAACAATGGGGCACTATTTCTTCCACTGATGCCAACAATGGGGCACTATTCCTTCCACTGATGCCAACAATGGGGCACTATTCCTTCCACTGATGCCAACAATGGGGCGATATTCCTTCCACTGATGCCAACAATGGGGCACTATTCCTTCCACTGATGCCAACAATGGGGCGATATTCCTTCCACTGATGCCAACAACGGGGCGATATTTCTTCCACTGATGCCAACAATGGGGCGATATTCCTTCCACTGATGCCAACAATGGGGCGATATTTCTTCCACTGATGCCAACAATGGGGCGATATTCCTTCCACTGATGCCAACAATGGAGTGATATTTCTTCCACTGATGCCAACAATGGGGCACTATTTCTTCCACTGATGCCAACAATGGGGCGATATTTCTTCCACTGATGCCAACAATGGGGCACTATTTCTTCCACTGACACCAATGATGGGGCGATATTCCTTCCACTGATGCCAACAATGGGGCGATATTTCTTCCACTGATGCCAACAATGGGGCACTATTTCTTCCACTGACACCAATGATGGGGCACTATTTCTTCCACTGACACCAATGATGGGGCACTATTTCTTCCACTGACACCAATGATGGGGCACTATTCCTTCCACTGATGCCAACAATGGGACACTGTTCCTTCCACTGATGCCAACAATGGGGCGATATTTCTTCCACTGATACCAAAGATAGGGCACTATTCCTTCCACTGATGCCAACAATGGGACGATATTTCTTCCACTGATGCCAACAATGGGACACTGTTCCTTCCACTGATGCCAACAATGGGGCGATATTTCTTCCACTGATGCCAACAATGGGGCGATATTTCTTCCACTGATGTCAACAATGGGGCGATATTTCTTCCACTGATGTCAACAATGGGGCACTATTCCTTCCACTGATGGCAACAATGGGGCACTATTCCTTCCACTGATGCCAACAATGGGGCACTATTCCTTCCACTGATGCCAACAACGGGGCGATATTCCTTCCACTGATGCCAACAATGGGCACTATTCCTTCCACTGATGCCAACAATGGGGCACTATTCCTTCCACTGATGCCAACAATGGGGCGATATTCCTTCCACTGATGCCAACAACGGGGCGATATTTCTTCCACTGATGCCAACAATGGGGCGATATTCCTTCCACTGATGCCAACAATGGGGCGATATTTCTTCCACTGATGCCAACAATGGGGCGATATTCCTTCCACTGATGCCAACAATGGGGCGATATTTCTTCCACTGACGCCAATGATGGGGCACTATTCCTCCCACTGACACCAATGATGGGGCACTATTCCTCCCACTGACACCATGATGGGGCACTATTTCTTCCACTGACACCAATGATGGGGCACTATTCCTCCCACTGATACCAATGATGGGGCACTATTCCTCCCACTGACACCAATGATGGGGCACTACTCTTCCTCCTACTGACCACCAATCCTGAGGCCATGTTTATTTTCATTGATGCTGTGTCCGGGACATTTTCTACTCCTACTACCCACAATCCGGCCCTTCTAAAGGCTAAAACTGGCCCTTTGTTTGAAAAGTTTGGAGACCCCTGGTATAGTACATCAGCTCACACGTCCTTGTAAAAACCCCCCTCACTGTAGCAAAGTCAGATATGATGAAACGTGTCGAGACATGGTTATGCGGCAAGTGGAAGTGACGTCAGAGCCAGAACCAGAAGTGATGTTTTCTGATCTATTACGAGTACGAGTCATGCAGTCATGTTGGAACAGGAAGGGGCCATCCCCAAACTCTTCCCACAAAGTTGGGGGCATGAAATTGTCCAAAATTTCACCTTAAGAGTTCCCTTCACTGGAACTAGGGGGCCAAGCCCAACTCCTGAGAAACACCCCCACACCATAATCCCCCCTCCACCAAACTTTACACTTGGCACAATGCAGTCAGGCAAGTACCGTTCTCCTGGCCACCTCCAAACCCAGACATGTCCATCAGATTGCCAGACAGAGAAGCGTGATTGGTCACTCCAGAGAACACGCCTCCCCTGCTCTAGAGTCCAGTGGCGGCGTGCTTTACACCACAGCATCCGACGCTTTGCATTGCACTTGGTGATGGAAGGCTTGGATGCAGCTGCTCGGCCATGGAAACCCATTCCATGAAGCTCTCTACGCACTGTTGTTGGGCTCATCTGAAGGCCACACCAAGTTTGGAGGTCTTTAGCTATTGACTCTGCAGACAGTTGGTGACTTCTGTGCACTGTGCGCTTCAGCATGCGCTGACCCCGCCCTGTCATGTGACGTGGCCTACCACTTGGTGGCTGAGTGGCTGTTGTTCCCAGTGGCTTCCACTTTGTTATAATCCCACTAACAGCTGAGCGTGGAATATTTAGTAGCCAGGAAATGTCACGGATGGACTTATTGCCCAGGTGGCCACCTATCACGGGACCACGCTTGGAGCCACTGAGCTCCTGAGAGCGACCCATTCTTTCACCAATGTTTGTAGAAGCAGTCTGCATGCCTAGGGGCGTGATTGTATACACCTGTGTCCATGGAGGGGATTGGAGCACCTGAATCACATGATTGGGAGGGGATTGGAACACCTGAATCACATGATATGGAGGGGATTGGAACACCTGAATCACATGATTGGGAGGGGATTGGAGCACCTGAATCACATGACATGGAGGGGATTGGAACACCTGAATCACATGATATGGAGGGAATTGGAACACCTGAAGCACATGACATGGAGGGGATTGGAACACCTGAATCACATGATATGGAGGGGATTGGAACTCCTGAATCACATGATATGGAGGGGATTGGAACACCTGAATCACATGATATGGAGGGGTTTGGAACACCTGAATCACATGATATGGAGGGGACTGGAACACCTGATTTACATGATTTGGAGGGGATTGGAACACCTGAATCACATGATATGGAGGTGACTGAAACACCTGAATCACATGATTTGGAGGAGATTGGAACACCTGAGTCACATGATTTGGAGGGGATTGGAGCACCTGAATCACATGACATGGAGGGGATTGGAACACCTGAATCACATGATTGGGAGGGGATTGGAACACTTGAAGCACATGATATGGAGGGGATTGGAACACCTGAATCACATGATATGGAGGGGATTGGAACTCCTGAATCACATGTCATGGAGGGAATTGGAACACCTGAAGCACATGATATGGAGGGGATTGGAACACCTGAATCACATGATATGGAGGGGATTGGAACTCCTGAATCACATGTCATGGAGGGAATTGGAACACCTGAATCACATGATATGGAGGGGATTGGAACACCTGAATCACATGATTGGGAGGGGTTTGGAACACCTGAATCACATGATATGGAGGGGACTGGAACACCTGAATCACATGATATGGAGGGGATTGGAACACCTGAATCACATGATATGGAGGGGATTGGAACACCTGAATCACATGATATGGAGGGGACTGGAACACCTGAATCACATGATATGGAGGGGATTGGAACACCTGAATCACATGATTTGGAGGGGATTGGAACTCCTGAATCACATGTCATGGAGGGAATTGGAACACCTGAATCACATGATATGGAGGGGATTGGAACACCTGAATCACATGATTGGGAGGGGTTTGGAACACCTGAATCACATGATATGGAGGGGACTGGAACACCTGAATCACATGATATGGAGGGGATTGGAACACCTGAATCACATGATTGGGAGGGGTTTGGAACACCTGAATCACATGATATGGAGGGGACTGGAACACCTGAATCACATGATATGGAGGGGATTGGAACACCTGAATCACATGATATGGAGGGGATTGGAACACCTGAATCACATGATATGGAGGGGACTGGAACACCTGAATCACATGATATGGAGGGGATTGGAACACCTGAATCACATGATTTGGAGGGGATTGGAACACCTGAATCACATGATATGGAGGGGATTGGAACACCTGAATCACATGATATGGAGGGGATTGGAACACCTGAATCACATGATATGGAGGGGATTGGAACACCTGAATCACATGATATGGAGGGGATTGGAACACCTGAATCACATGATATGGAGGGGACAGGAATACCTGAATCACATGATTTGGAGGGGGGGGGGCAATACTTTTCGGCAATATAGCGTATGCTCAGTGAACAAAGGGCCACAAGGGCCGCATGACATTTTGCAGACAGGAAGGGAATTAGAAGCAAGTAAATGCCTCTTACTCTCCTTGCTCTAAAGAGAACCTGTCACTTCATCCTCGGTGGGCAGAGAACATGTTCCCTTTAAATAAAGCAAGGTGCCCTGATGCCTTTCAGGCTGCAGTTTGTCATTCGTCGGCTCAATCTTCGTCTCTCAGAATTCAGAAAGCAATCATGAGCCCTTATCGGGCGAAGCGTGTGACTTATGGAGCTGGCATGGGGCCACCCACTTGTGTGAGGATCACCCAGGACTGATAGTAATGAGAGGCTTCAGCAATGCTTTGAAGAGTTGAGTGCGATACAGAGCTGCAATCACTTGGCCCCGGAGACAAGGGCCCATCCCTGGCGTGCAGGTGGAGGATGTGCTAAATTTATACCCCAGATTACGGATGGAACGAAGCGCCATAAAATATGTATCAACAGAACACGCCTTGATGTTCCAGCGGCTGCACGATCACGCGACCACCCAGGTTTCCTCGTCAGGTGGAAGGCTTCTATTAATACAGACGTTGGCTGATGGACGCGCACGGCGCTTTGAAAATAATCTCTGTTTGCTAAAACTTGACTTGCCAATAAACGTATAGGTTTTTTTTTCCATTTTCCCGCACGTGTTTTTCTTGGCGCGGCAGACCGGCTGCTTCAATTTCTGGTGGAAGAATGTTTGTATCTCCGCTGTAATTAATACTCTGCAATGAAGAACGACGATTTTTCCATCATTGTGGGATTTCCCTGTAAATACTTTTTATTATCTGTGGTTCTGAGGTGAACTTTGACCCCTTTTCCCAGATATTCCAAGTAAAACTTAAAACATGTTTTTTCTTTCGATTTTTGCCTTTCTCTATTAAAAAAAACAAAACATGCCAAGCAATCTTTATCCTCTCAATGCTCCGGTGCGACCCCCAGCTTCCTCTTCCATCCATCGCCTAAAGTCCTGTTTGGGCTGAACGACAGCCATTCTATCCACTTCCTGTGAGCCCAGCCTGTCGTTGACACACCCCTTGGAGGTGTGCCCTCATGCACCCTGCCCACATGGAAGAAAAATATATTTTAAAAATATTCTTCCCAAATTTATTGACATATATTTGAAATACTACAATTTTGGCCGCATTCAATATATTTCAATAAATAATCCAATCCTTGAATTCAGGTTTTCCATCCTCTTCATATCATGTGATTCAGGTGTTCCAATCCCCTCCCAATCATGTGATTCAGGTGTTCCACTCCCCTCCAAATCATGTAACTCTGGTGTTCCAATCCCCTCCATATCATGTGATTCAGGTGTTCCCATCCCCTCCCAATCATGTAACTCTGGTGTTCCAATCCCCTCCATATCATGTGATTCAGGTGTTCCAATCCCCTCCCAATCCTTGGATTCAGGTGTTCCAATCCCCTCCCAGTCAAGTGATTCAGGTGTTCCAATCCCCTCCATATCATGTGATTCAGGTGTTCCAATCCCCTCCCAGTCAAGTGATTCAGGTGTTCCAATCCCCTTCCAGTCAAGTGATTCAGGTGTTCCAATCCTCTCCATATCATGTGATTCAGGTGTTCCCATCCCCTCCATATCATGTGATTCAGGTGTTCCAATTCCCTCCATATCATGTGATTCAGGTGTTCCCATCCCCTCCCAATCATGTGATTCAGGTGTTCCAATCCCCTCCATATCATGTGATTCAGGTGTTCCAATCTCCTCCATATCATGTGATTCAGGTGTTCCAATCCCCTCCCAATCATGTGATTCAGGTGTTCCAATCCCGTCCCAATCCTTGGATTTAGGTGTTCCAATCCCCTCCCAGTCAAGTGATTCAGGTGTTCCGATCCCCTCCCAATCATGTGATTCAGGTGTTCCAATCCCCTCCAAATCATGTAATTCTGTTGTTTCAATCCCCTCCATATCATGTGATTCAGGTGTTCCAATCCCCTCCATATCATGTGATTCAGGTGTTCCAATCCCCTCCATATCATGTGATTCAGGTGTTCCAATCCCCTCCATATCATGTGATTCAGGTGTTCCAATCCCCTCCCAATCATGTGATTCAGGTGTTCCAATCCCCTCCATATCATGTGATTCAGGTGTTCCAATCCCCTCCATATCATGTGATTCAGGTGTTCCCATCCCCTCCCAATCATGTGATTCAGGTGTTCCAATCCCGTCACAATCATGTGATTCAGATGTTCCAATCTCCTCCCAAGCACTGTTAGACTTCATTCCAGGGATAAAACCCGCATGGAAGAAAAATATATTTTAAATATATTTTCAAAATATTCTTCCCCAATATATTGACATATATTTGAAATTTTAGCCGTATTCAATATATATATACTGTATGTTGAAATAGGTTTTTGTTACAAAAAATATGAAAAATATTTAAAAAAACAAATTTTCAAATATAGTGTATGTCTTTAAAAATACATTTAATCTACATTTTTGGAATGCATTTACAAATATATGTAAAAATATATGTTAAAATGACTTTATTTGTTGAAAACAAATCTGAAGAATTAATTTAAAAAAAATATATTTTTAAAAATATTTTTCATATATTTTGTAATATATTAAAAACGCATTTCAACATGCAGCATATAACATGCAGCACCTCCCTAGGCCTCAGCCCAGGGAAGAGAGCGACCACATGGCCTGTCTCGAATATTTATTTCCTCCCCCCAGCATGCACCAGCGGCCTAAACCTCCTACTGGATTGGCAGAAGGAAATATAAATAATCATAACTTTATTTTGTTTGTGAAATCCAATCCAATGACCGGTGATAACAGTGACAGCAGGAAATCACCAGCCAACTGAAGCTTGGGGAGAAACCAGGTGAAAACCTACACAAGCAGTCTGAGCCAAGAACGAGGAGGACAAGGGGGCTACATACAGAACATGTTGGCCATTCAAAAATTGAAAGATGAAAAAAAAGGGGCCCTCAAGAGCATTCAGCAGGCTGCAGCTATTCTGCTTAGGGGCACTTTGTGGCTTTCTTTTATCTTTCATACAATGTATTGTGCTGATTCTGCCATTTTGAGTCCTCCCAAGTCTCTTCAATATCTGAGCCCTGAAGAAGGGGAAGACCTTTGAACCTTTGTACTGTGCTGGCTATTTTATATTGCCTCACTGAACGAACGCCAGTATTAAACGTTTTTGGACTCTCAGCTCATTGGTCTGGCACACTTTGTATACATAGTTTCCAAACTTGAAGTCCCCCCTTTTGTTTGTGTTTAAGGGCAGCCTCATTGGAACCATTGCACCCCATAGGAATTAGTTTGGTCTTCTCCAATCATGGTCCATGGATGAGTCGGATTCAGTGCCAAAGTTACATTTATTCCAGTTTACCCTTTGCATCTATACCATCCTCCACTCTTCTGGGAAGGGTTTGGAGGGTGTCTGTGAGAATTTGTGCCCATTTGTGAGGTCAGGTACTGATGTTGGATGAGAAGCTCTGGCTCATAATTGGCATTCCAATTCATCCCAAAAGTGTTCAGTAGTGTTGAGGTCAGGACTCTGTGCAGGAAACCGTACAAGTCTTCATCAGGGAAACTGGAGAAATACAATTAGAATTGAGATGGAACAAACATATCCACAGTAGTTTATAGATTGCAATGCCATATATCAATCTCTAATGCATAATTCCCAATGCGTTTCGACCATACAAGTCTTCATCCCAACGAGTTTCGACCATACAAGTCTTCATCCCAACGAGTTTCGACCATACAAGTCTTCATCAGTGAAAACTGGAGAAATACAGTTAGCATTGAGATGGGACAAACATCCACAGTAGTTTTATAGATTGTAATGCCATATATCAATCTCTAATGCATAATTCCCAATGTGTTTTGACCACACAAGTCTTCATTCCAATGCGTTTCGACCATACAAGTCTTCATCCCAACGAGTTTCGACCACACAAGTCTTCATCCCAACGAGTTTCGACCGTACAAGTCTTCATCAGGGAAACTGGAGAAATACATATAGAATTGAGATGGAACAAACATATCCACAGTAGTTTAAAGATTGCAATGACATAAATCAACCTCTAATGCATCATTCCCAAAACATTTCGACCATACAAGTCTTCATTTCCAACGTGTTTCAACCATACAAGTTTTCATCGGGGGAAACTGGAGAAATACAGTTAGCATTGAGATGGGACAAACATATCCACTGTAGTTTAAAGATTGCAATGACATAAATCAATCTCTATTGCATCATTCCCAAAACATTTCGACCATACAAGTCTTCATTTCCAACGTGTTTTGACCATACAAGTCTTCATCAGGGAAAACTGGAGAAATACAATTAGAATTGAGATGGGACAAACATCCACAGTAGTTTATAGATTGCAATGACATATATCAATCTCTAATTCATAATTCCCAATGCGTTTCGACCATTCAAGTCTTCATTACCAACACATTTCGACCATACAAGTCTTTATCAGGGAAAACTGGAAAAATACAATTAGCATTGAGATGGAACAAACATATCCACTGTAGTTTATAGATTTCAATGCCATATATCAATCTCTAATGCATAATTTCCAACATGTTTTGACCATACAAGTCTTCATCCCAATGCGTTTCGACCATACAAGTCTTCATCAGGGGAACTGGAGAAATACAGTTAGTATTGAGATGGAAACAAACATATCCACTGACTACAGACGTTACCCTCAGGAACCCAGGTCTTCACCTGGATGGTTATTGCCCCCAGAGAGCCAACATGGACCAGGCATAACCGGCCGCACCTGTCCACAGCACACTCTCCCTTGGTATGAGTACAAGGGGTCTCAAACCAAACAAGAGAGGACCATACACAGGAGATAGTGTGCCCATAAGTTATGTGTGAGATCTCATCTCATAAATCACCTTGGAGGGTACACAGAAAGGTGCTTCAAAATTTCCATAGCAAATAGCTATGGACAGGTGCGTCTGGTTATGCCTGGTCCATGTTGGCTCTCTGGGGCACTATCTAACCTGGTGAAGACCTGGGTTCCCCATGGCAACGTCTATAGACAGTGGATATGTTTGTTACATCTCAATGCTAATTGTAGTTCTCCAGTTTCCCGTGATGAAGACTTGCATTGTCGAAACGCATTGGAATTTATGCATTGGGGATCTGCTTAGGGGGTGCGCATCTCGTACCTTCTCCCGGCTCTCTTCTTACTGCCCCCAGCGCTAGGCTGACAAGAGTAGTGATGCGGCCGTCACTACTTCTGTCAGTCTTATAACAGATGGAACTCAGCACAGGGGGCCACATCCCTACAATTAACCATTGCGCCCAGGGCAGCCGCCCCTCCTGCCCACCCCTAGTCCCAGCCCTGTCACTACTATAGAAACCAAAATGGGGCGCAAGACTGATAAATATCCCACATTACATTTTTCTTGCTGGATGGAATCAGAGCTTTTTGACCCCAAAATTCATTTTTGATTTGTGCGCTGCGGCCCTTTAATAAGCCTGCAAGAGACGTGTGGAAGCTTCCGCCACGTTCGGGATTGTCCTCGGAATGAATTTGCTTGGACGAGGATCTGAGTTATAAAACAAATCCTGCTATTAGCACCGCTCATAATCTGACAAAACAATTCCCGTTCCCGTCCACATTCCAGAAGAGTGCAAACAACCCGGAAAAATGCTGAGAGACGGCAAAAAAAATGGAAATATGTTTCACTCAGATACATGTAAGAATCTTCCTCTTCTCATTCGGGGCCAAAAATAATCAGCGCTTGGGACAGGCCGTATTTTGATTTCCAGCGCATATGGTTCTCTAAGAAAAATAATGAAGTAAAAAAAAAAAAAAAGGCAGCGTAGCCTTGCCGCTGCGTCCGCATTACTCAGTTCTTGACAGGGGATGTATTTTTAGTTGGGGGATCTACGTTGGTGAATTATGGGACCAAAAAAATGTCAAGGCTGCTGCAACATCGTCAGAATAAAGAAAGCCAATGCCATCTCATTTAAAGGGATCGTCCGCTCCCAATAGGTGACCAGTGCCCAGAAAATCTGAGCCTACTACCAAAATGCCATATCTAGGCAACGGCCTACAGCAACCATTCTCAAGAAGGGTTCCTCCAGAGGTTCTAGGGGTTCCTTGAGCTGTGGCTGATTGACCCCTCCATCTGATGTAGCCCCCATAGTCCGTGGTCCAATGCCACTCTAAGGGTAGTGCCCTGACCCCCCAATATAGGGGATCCAATGTGTGTGTGACAGTGCTGGACCAATGAGCAATGTGATATCCCTGGAGGTGATCGGGGATATGTAGTCCTTTGGATGGTGAAGTGGATAGGAATTGTTAGGGTCTCAGCTGCTGCTTCTCAGGTAGCAATGGAAAGATGCTCTGCCAAATAGAGTCGAATGGGTACAGAGGCGCAAGCCATCAGACTTCAGGTCATCTAAACCCTTCCCTCCCTGGGGGGAAAACAAATGATAACGCCTAAGCACAATTTTGCAACTTTGATTTGTGTTAGTAAAACCGTCCGTATCATCACAACTATTTTGTATATCCAGGTGGACTATGCCGCATTTTTTTTCAGGACAAATTGGGATTTCTTTTGGTGGAAATGGTAACTGATATCTCCTGATTTTGTATTAACTACGGAAAACTGACCCAAAATAGTAAACAACATTTTTTTAAATTTAGCTGTATATTTCTTGTTGTTATCATAATTTACCAACAAACAACAACCCAAAATAAATTCTCCTGCTTCTGAGGATCATAGCGATACCACATCAACTATATTGCCAAAAGTATTGGGCTGCCGGCCTTTCCACGCACATGACCTTTAATGGCCCCCCAGTCTTAGTCCGCAGGGTTCAATATTGAGTTGGCCCCGCCCTTCCCACACACACGACCTTTAATGTCCCCCCAGTCTTAGTCCGTAGAGTTCAATATTGAGTTGGCCCCGCCCTTCCCACACACACATGACCTTTAATGGCCCCCCAGTCTTAGTCCGTAGGGTTCAATATTGAGTTGGCCCCGCCCTTTCCACGCACATGACCTTTAATGGCCCCTCAGTCTTAGTCCGCAGGGTTCAATATTGAGTTGGCCCCGCCCTTTCCACACAAATGACCTTTAATGGCCCCCCAGTCTTAGTCCGTAGAGTTCAATATTGAGTTGGCCCCGCCCTTTCCACACACATGACCTTTAATGGCCCCCCAGTCTTAGTCTGTGGGGTTCAATATTGAGTTGGCCCCGCCCTTTGCAGCTATAACAGCTTCAACTCTTCTGGGAAGGCCGTTCACAAGGTTTAGGAGGGTGTCTATAAGAAGGTTGGACCATTCTTCCAGAAGCACATTTGTCAGGTCAGGCACTGATGTCGGGGGAGGAGGCCTGGCTCGCAGTCTCCGCTCTGATTCATCCCAAAGGTGTTCTATGGGGTTGAGGTCAGGACTCTGTGCAGGACAGTCAAGTTCCTCCACCCCAAACTGGCTCCTCCATGTCTTTATGGACCTTGCTTTGTGCACTGGTGGGCAGTCATGTTGGAGCAGGAAGGGGCCATCTCTTCCCCATCACCACGGCATCCGACGCTTTGCATTGCACTTGGTGATGGAAGGCTTGGATGCAGCTGCTCGGCCATGGAAACCCATTCCATGAAGCTCTCTACGCACTGTTGTTGGGCTCATCTGAAGGCCACACCAAGTTTGGAGGTCTTTAGCTATTGACTCTTCTTGGCGACTTCTGTGCACTGTGCGCTTCAGCATGCGCTGACCCCGCCCTGTCATGTGACGTGGCCTACCACTTGGTGGCTGAGTGGCTGTTGTTCCCAGTTGCTTCCACTTTGTTATAATCCCACTAACAGTTGAGCGTGGAATATTTAGTAGCCAGGAAATGTCACGGATGGACTTATTGCCCAGGTGGCCACCTATCGGGACCACGCCTGGAGTCACTGAGCTCCTGAGAGCGACCCATTCTTTCACCAATGTTTGTAGAAGCCGTCTGCATGCCTAGGGGCTTGATTGTATACACCTGTGTCCATGGAGGGGATTGGAACACCTGAATCACATGATATGGAGGGGATTGGAGCACCTGAATCACATGATTGGGAGGGGATTGGAGCACCTGAATCACATGATTGGGAGGGGATTGGAACACCTGAATCACATGATATGGAGGGGATTGGAACACCTGTATCACATGATTGGGAGGGGATTGGAACACCTGAATCACATGATATGGGGGGGATTGAAACACCTGAATCACATGATTGGGAGGGGATTGGAACACCTGAATCACATGATATGGAGGGGATTGGAACACCTGTATCACATGATTGGGAGGGGATTGTAACACCTGTATCAAATGATATGGAGGGGATTGAAACACCTGAATCTGATGATTGGGAGGGGATTGGAACACCCGAATCACATGATATGGAGGGGATTGGAACACCTGAATCACACGATATGGAGGGGATTGGAACACCTGAATCACATGATTGGGAGGGGATTGGAACACCTGAATCACATGATATGGAGGGATTGGAACACCTGAATCACACGATATGGAGAGGATTGGAACACCTGAATCACATGATTGGGAGGGGATTGGAATATCTAAATCACATGATTGGAGGGCGGGGACAATACTTGCGGCAGTATAGTGTGTGTGTTAGTTATGTTTGTACCTGTAGTACGGCCCAGTAACAATGGTGCACATTTTGCTTTTTTTTTTTTATCCTGCCAAAAACAAACTTTTAATTATTATTTTTTTTTTTTTTTACACAAAATATGCTGACTGTGAATTTTGGCCCCAACTTTGACCTTTGACCCTGACCCTAACACTAACCCTGGCAAACCTTGTTATTTTTTTTTTTTTTTTTTTTTAATTTTTTACTTTTTACATTTTTTATTTCATCTTTTTTTTTTGTTTTTGTTTTTTTACAGCTTTATCTCGGTGTCAGTAGGAGGAATAGTGCCCCATCATTGGTGTCAGTGAGAGGAATAGTGTCCCATCATTGGTGTCAGTGAGAGGAATAGTGCCCCATCATTGGTGTCAGTGGGAGGAATAGTGTCCCATCATTGGTGTCAGTGGGAGGAATAGTGCCCCATCATTGGTGTCAGTGGGGGGAATAGTGCCCCATCATTGGTGTCAGTGGGGGGAATAGTGCCCCATCATTGGTGTCAGTGAGAGGAATAGTGTCCCATCATTGGTGTCAGTGGGAGGAATAGTGCCCCATCATTGGTGTCAGTGGGGGGAATAGTGCCCCATCATTGGTGTCAGTGGAGGAATAGTGCCCCATCATTGGTGTCAGTGGGAGGAATAGTGCCCCATCATTGGTGTCAGTGGGAGGAATAGTGCCCCATCATTGGTGTCAGTGAGAGGAATAGTGTCCCATCATTGGTGTCAGTGGGAGGAATAGTGCCCCATCATTGGTGTCAGTGGGAGGAATAGTGCCCCATCATTGGTGTCAGTGGGGGGAATAGCGCCCCATCATTGGTGTCAGTGGGAGGAATAGTGCCCCATCGTTGGTGTCAGTGGGGGGAATAGTGCCCCATCATTGGTGTCAGTGGGAGGAATAGTGCCCCATCGTTGGTGTCAGTGGGGGGAATAGTGCCCCATCATTGGTGTCAGTGGGAGGAATAGTGCCCCATCATTGGTATCATTGAGAGAATAGTGCCCCAAGAGCCAAATAAAAGCAAGCAAAGGGCCACATCCGACCCCTGCGCTGCATTTTGGAGACCCCTGATAAAGGTACTGTCCCTTGTGCTGATTTGAAAAAAAAAAGAAAATCCTAAACTTTTACATTCCTGCAATAAAAATCCTAAGAACCGCAAAGTGTGCCGCTCTTCTTCCGGGTCACATGGTCAGGGCGGGGACAGTCTCAGGTCCGAGAAGTTCCCTCCCGGCACCGCGGCATCAGAGCTCACTGAAAGGTTTTCCTTTAAACGAAAAGATTTATTTTTTTCGTATTTCAATCATTTGTTATTCTAAACACAGAAGAAGCTTTATAAAGAATGCAGAAGAATTGCCAACAAAAGGGTTTTTTTTTTGGTCATTTTCTTTTTTTTCTGACTGCAGCTGCGGTCAGTGTGGTTGTCTTCTGGGCGGATCAGAAAGTCCGTCTTCCTTCCTGAGGGACAGCGAGGAGAAAAGGGCCCAAATAAGTGTCATGTCTAGCCGTCTCTTCTCTCCGGGAGTCAGACCTGGACGCAGCTCAACAAGCGTCGGCGCTCAGAGCTGGAGGGAGCGGCCGGAGAACTCCCAACGTGCAGGTGGAAGAGCCTGCTGAGAGTTGTAGTCCCTCTCCGGCTTGGCCGGGGCTGTGTGACGGGGAATGTGGAGCTCCTCTGATGCCACCACACCCTGCTGGCTCTTCGGCTTTTATTGTCTGAATCATATGCGCTGCACGGCGAGGGGAAAGTGGATGAGTCACCCGACTGCGCTCAATGCGAAGGTGGGACAACACGAGAAAAACATGTCCAATCCGAGAGATCCGACCCGAGGAATCCACACATACACCAGCCTGAGATAATGGGGGTGTTAAAGGAGAACTCTTCTCATCCGGATTAGAGGGAATATAGAGCCAAGAATAGGAGAACCAAGGAGGACACAATACAGAGAGATTCACCTTCAGTATACTAGAATGTCAAAAGTGTTGTCCCCGCCCCCCTGATCATGTAATTCAGGTGTTCCAATCCCCTCCCAATCATGTGATTCAGGTGTCCCAATCCCCTACATATCATGTGATTCAGGTGTTCCAATCCCCTCCAAATCATGTGATTCAGGTGTTCCAATCCCCTCCACATCATGTGATTCAGGTGTTCCAATCCCCTCCATAACATGTGATTCAGGTGTCCCAATCCCCTCCCAATCATGTGATTCAGGTGTTCCAATCCCCTCCATATCATGTGATTCAGGTGTTCCAATCCCCTCCCTATCATGTGATTCAGGTGTCCCAATCCCCTCCCAATCATGTGATTCTGGTGTTCCAATCCCCTCCATATCATGTGATTCAGGTGTTCCAAATCCCCTCCATATCATGTGATTTAGGTGTTCCAATCCCCTCCAAATCATGTGATTCAGGTGTTCCAATCCCCTCCATATCATGTGATTTAGGTGTTCCAATCCCCTCCAAATCATGTGCTTCAGGTGTTCCAATCCCCTCCATATCATGTGATTCAGTTGTTCCAATCCCCATCCATATCACGTGATTCAGGTGTTCCAATCCCCTCCATATCATGTGATTCCGTTGTTCCAATCCCCATCCATATCATGTGATTCAGGTGTTCCAATCCCCTCCATATCATGTGATTCAGGTGTTCCCATCCCCTGCATATCATGTGATTCAGGTGTTCCCATCCCCTCCATATCATGTGATTCAGGTGTTCCAATCCCCTCCATATCATGTGATTCAGGTGTTCCAATCCCCTCCATATCATGTGATTCAGGTGTTCCAATCCCCTCCAAATCATGTGATTCAGGTGTTCCAATCCTCTCCCAATCATGTGATTCAGGTTTTCCAATCCCCTCCATATCATGTGATTCAGGTGTTCCAATCCCTTCCATATCACGTGATTCAGGTGTTCCAATCCCCTCCATATCATGTGATTCAGGTGTTCCAATCCCCTCCATATCATGTGATTCAGGTGTTCCAATCCCCTCCATGGACACAGGTGTATACAATCACGCTCCTAGGCATGCAGACGGCTTCTACAAACATTGGTGAAAGAATGGGTCGCTCTCAGGAGCTCAGTGACTCCAAGCGTGGTTCCCGTGATAGGTGGCCACCTGGGCAATAAGTCCATCCGTGACATTTCCTGGCTACTAAATATTCCACGCTCAACTGTTAGTGGGATTATAACAAAGTGGAAGCGACTGGGAACAACAGCCACTCAGCCACCAAGTGGTAGGCCACGTCACATGACAGGGCGGGGTCAGCGCATGCTGAAGCGCACAGTGCGCAGAAGTCGCCAACTGTCTGCAGAGTCAATAGCTAAAGACCTCCAAACTTGGTGTGGCCTTCAGATGAGCCCAACAACAGTGCGTAGAGAGCTTCATGGAATGGGTTTCCATGGCCGAGCAGCTGCATTCACCAAGTGCAATGCAAAGCGTCGGATGCCGTGGTGTAAAGCACGCCGCCACTGACTGTAGAGCATGTACATCTGGTGTTATATATAGGGGGTGGTGTACATCTGGGGGTGGTGTGTATATAAGGAGTGGTGTATATATAGGGGGTGGTTGTATATATAGGGATGGTGTATATATATACGGGGTGATGTACATATGGGGGTGTGGTGTATATATAGTGGGGGTGGTGTATATATAGGGGTGGTGTACATCTGGGGGTGGTGTATATATAGGGGTAGTGTGTATATATGGTTTGTTGTACATCTTGGGGGTGGTGTATATATACGGAGTGGTGTGTTTTATATTTTTTTTTTATATATTTTATAGGGGGTGGTTTATATATGGGGGGTTGTATATATGGGGTGTGTACATCTTTGGTGTATTTATAGGGGGGTGGTGTACATCTTGGGGTGGTGTATATATAGGGGGTGGTGTACGTCTGGGGGTTTTTGTATATATATACGGGGTGGTGTTACATCTGGGGGTGTGTATATATTTTTTTTGGTGTACATCTGGGGGTGATATATATATAGGGGGTGGTGTATATCTGGGGGGGGTGTATATATACGGGGTGGTGTACATCTGGGGGTGATATATATATAGGGGGTGTGTATATCTGGGGGGGGTGTATATACGGGGTTTTGTACATCTGGGGTGGTTTTATGTTTATATAGGGGTGGTTTATATAGGGGGTATGTGTGTATATACGGGGTGGTGTACATCTGGGGTGGTGTATATATAGGGGTGGTGTATATATAGGGGGTGGTGTTATATCTGGGGGGGTGATATATACGGGGTGGTGTACATCTGGGGGTGGTGTATATATAGGGTGTAGTTTTGTATATCTGGGGGGGTGTTATATTATTGGTGTACATTTGGGGGTGGTGTACATCTGGGGGTGATTTTATATACAGGGGGTGGTGTATATCTGGGGGGGGTGTATATATACGGGGTGGTGTACATCTGGGGGTTTGTATATATAGGGGTGGTGTATATCTGGGGTGGTGTATATATATACGTGGGGGTGGTGTACATCTTAGGGGGTGATATATATTTAGGGGGTGGTGTATATCTGGGGGGGGTGTATATACGGGGTGGTGTACATCTGGGGGTGGTTTTATATATATAGGGGTGGTGATATATATATACGGGGTATGTGTACATTGGGGGGGTGTATAATATATACGGGGTGGTGTACATCTTGGGGTATATATATATATAGGGGGTGGTGTATATCTGGGGGGGGTGTATATATACGGGGTGGTTGTACATCTTGGGGTGATATAATATATATTTTTGTATATCTGGGGGGGTGTATATACGGGGGTGGTGTTTTCTTGGTTTGATATATATATAGGGGGTGGTGTATATCTGGGGGGTGTGTATATACGGGTTTTTGTACATCTGGGGGTGGTGTATAAT